AGATATCTGAAACCCCTTGCCCTTGTAGGAGGAACACACACTTATATTTTTTTTACTAGTACATTATTACATTTATTTCATATTAATTTAATTGTTTTATCATAAAAATGTTTTAATAATAAACATTTTAGTCATTATGTAAAAAAAAATTTATTGTAATTTATGTATTTGTTTAATGAAATATAAAATTTATATTATTTTATAACTTTTTGTAAATATCAATTAATCAAATCAAATAAATTAATTCTCCATAAATTTAATTTATCTTTTATTTTTTGAGGAAAAAGTGTAAAAGTCAAACCATATCAAATTAAATAATTTAATTAATTAAATTTATTTTATAATAATAATACAACCAAATCAACAATTTAATATATTTATAACTTATAAGGTGTTAGGGTTGGTTGGAAATATACAAAAGAAGTCACATATCATTTAGTTTTGTAAAGGTATTTAACTTGTAATAGAATCAAGGTATATAATAGAATCAAGGTATTTATTACACGATACAACAGTAAAAAACACTTTAAACTTGTATTTAACTTTTTTGTTTTTTTTACTTGGAGCTTGGGGTGGTTGAGAGTAAATTATATGTTGTGTGATATAGTTATATATTTGTTTTGGGGGATGTGAGTGTACTATGTAACACCCTTCTAACCCCACATGAAAATACATAAATAATCAGAGTAAATTAACATGCTTTCACAAAAGGGCGTCACACATAATTTCAAAACATCAAAACCACCTGTCATGCTTTAAACACTCAAATAAAATAATCATGCTTTTCAAAGTTCACTTTGCATGTAGCAGCGGATTCAATTTATATTCATAATTCTTTTCACATAACATTCATGTTCATCTCATAATTCAACAATACTTGGGCACTAAGGCCAACATCACAATATTTCGATACATTTAAAATACAACTTAAAATACATAAAATATCTCTAAAGCAAAAACCCAAACGATCCCAGTGTTACATAACCAGAGCATGACTCGACCCAACATAATTAAAATACTAAACAATTGCACCAGCAGAGACCTTGCAACTACTAGCAGTACAACTCCAAGATACTTGCACGATGTCATAAAAGACATCATTCCAGCAGAAGGGTGAGAAATATTACCATAATAATCAAAACACATAATCATATATAAATGCGCAAGTACAGAATACATACATTATACTGCATGTATATATATATATATACACAATTAAGCATACTCATCAATCATGCTTCTACAATTCACATCATTTTCACACAAACATTTATAATTATATTTATTCATACATCTCAATCATTCCATACATCGCAATGTATTCATATAAGTATCTATATATAAATAGAATATCAAGCATATAAAATATGCATTCACCAATGTTTACATCAATCCATGTAAACCCACATATATATATATATATATATATATATATATATATATATATATATATATATATATATATATATATATATATATATATATATATATATATATATATATATATATATATATATATATATATATATATATATATATATATATATATATATATATATATATATATATATATATATATATATATATATATATATATATATATATATATATACATATCTTCAAGCATACTCACTCATGCCATTATCACAATTCGCGTTAGTTCACATAAACATACACAATATGTTTATATCACCACCATTTGACATAAACATTCACATACATGTTTATTTCACCAATGCATCATATAAAGATGAATTATGCAACTCATAGAGACCGACTCACGACTCTATGCAGATGCAAATGCGGTACCGACTCAATTCAGCAGGTTCAATTGAAGAACCAAATGGAACCATCACTCGTTATCGAAGTAACTCCCCGTCGGGCCTACGATGTTCACCCATTGCTCACACCCCACATGGACACATAATGTTTATGGATTGCTCACACCCCACATGGGCACACAATCCGATTGTTCACACCCCACAAGGGCACACAATCGTTCTGCAAATTCTACGCGGAATCAAATATAGACCATCGCTCACACCTCACATGGGCACACGATGTCTCTGTAGATCCTACACGGGATCAAATATAACCATCGCTCACACCCCACATAGGCACACGAGGTTCTGCAGATCCTACACGGGATCAAATAACACAAATGCATATCATGATGCTTCACATGCAAACATGACTCAATCAACTATAAACCATCGCTCACACCCCACATGGGCACACGGGGTTTCTGCAGATCCTACGCGGGATCAATCAACACAAAATGCATACATGTTTACAAACATACTCATGCATCTATCACATTTCACTGCATACATTTATTATGCATTCACAACATATATATCATAATGCAAATATATATATTCATCATTTATTTCACACCATTTCATACATGGTTCTCATACAAAATGACTCAATCAGTTATAGACCATCGCTCACACCCCACATGGGCACATGATGTCTCTGCAGATCCTACACGGGATCAATCAACACAAACTGCATACATATTCACAAATATATTATCATGCATTCTTCACACATCAACACGTACAATCATCATGCACTCACAATGTGTATTATATTCATCATTCATCACAATTGCCATGCATTTTTATTCAATTCTAAACAATGCATAATTTACCCAAAGGCCACGATTCAAAATCATATTCATACACTAGGATTCACGCCTTACGGCTACCCACAACACAACAATTAATAACACACAAATTATCCTTACGAGACGAGACCGATCGCAACCGGACGCTCTAGCTACTATAAGCTCTTCTCCCTCAAAATCATTAATCCCGACTAATCGGTAAAATTGGCTAAAAGTTGGCTAAAAATAATATTTCTTTTCACCAAGTTGTAGAACATATTATTAGCTTCAGTTTGATATAAAGAACGTCAAAATCCGATAAACGGTGAAAAAGTTATGAATTTTCGAAGTTTTGAAAAATAATATTTTCTCACACTTACAGTGTTAATCGGTTAACGTATATGGTTAACCGGTTAACACCTCCAAAAACTCAGTTTTTAGGCCCCCAACATTGTGTTAATCGGTTAACGTATATGGTTAACCGATTAACACCTGAAAAACTCAGAAAAACAGCTACGGGCTTAAAAGCCCCAAAAAGTCGCCCGATTAAATAGTTTTCACCCGATTAAATACCTATCTATCCTTACTAATCATATACAGATATTTTAGGGTCATAAAACTCAACTTTCACGACATTCGATTTCCACTCAAAATCTTAACCTCAATTTAATCGAAAATGGTGAAACTCACAATATCACTCGATTTTCGCCAAACTAGTTCCAATAATCTTAGTCTAACATATCCCGACTAAGCTACGGAAGTTATTCTCGATTCTAACCGTCCGAACATCGGCTTCTATCGATTTCTATCATTTCGACCTAAATGGAAACAAGGTTGGAAAACAACCAAACTCATCCACACACATACACAATCATACACAATGATTAAGATAGTAAGATTTCACACCCTTACCTTAGATTAATCGAAGCCAAATGATGTTCTTGATGATTCTCCAAGTTTTCCTCTTTTTCTCCTCTTTTCTCTTCTTCCTCTTTCTTTCTCTTTCTTTCTTTCTTTCCTTTTTCCTTCCACTTTCTCATACATATATATATATATATATATATATATATATATATATATATATATATATATATATATATATATATATATATATATATATATATATATATATATATATATATATATATATATATATATATATATATATATATATATATATATTTCCCTTTATTTCTTTCCATTGAATTTCCTCTCTCAAAACATCTATCAATCCATTTAAATAATCATCTAATTATTCAAATAATTAGAATAATCCAAATAAATTAATTATTTAACACAAATAATTAATCATTGAAAATTGGGTTGTTACATACTAGCCTAAAGGTGGTTAATGATAAATTATGTATTGTAACAATTTTCACTTCTATTATTCTCTGGTTGTCATTTAACAACAAACATGATTTTTTTATTTATTATTTTTTTGTTTTAGAGTATTTTACTTTATGTCATTGTGTTGTAATTGTATTCTCCTTTATCTTTAGGTTGTTTCTTCCTAACAACTGAGAGTTCTTGATATACTTTGTAGTTGTAGTTTTGATTGATCTTCCACATCAGAAAAGAATGGCGATAATGTGAAAGAGTTGTTGGATTGTAGTTACAAGTTCCACTATGCAATTAGGGTTAGAGGAAATTGATGGAAAAATTATTTTTGCCTTGTGAAAAGTTCAATTAAAAAAATGTATTGATACAATCAAGATTATATAATGTGTATGATGAGATTATGTCAATAGTTGAAGAGCTTTCTGTCACCATGAAAGTTGCACCATAAATTTCTAGTCTTATTTTCAACATGTGAAATTCTTGGAGTGGACTCTCTTCAAATGGAATATATTCTCCACAATAGAGTATATGATTGTCAGTGATGACAATGTAAAATTATTGATGTGATTTATTTTCAAGTGAAATATATTTTTCATGGTAGAGAATAGTAGTTTTTGAACTATACTTGTAGGTGAAGACAATGTAATTTTTTTTGAAAAGAGGTAATTTTAAATGACTATACTCTTTATTACGGTGGAGTATGATTGTCACCAAAGATAATGAAAATTAATGTCCGTAGTTAGACAATTCTTATAGCTTAAGAGAACTCTTAAAAATCAATTTTATTTTTTTAACAAACATAAAAGTGCAGCTCTGAAAAATAAAACGGAATTATTTGCAAAATACAGGGGTGAAAATTTCGTAACTGGCTTAATTAGGCTAAAATATGGGCCTTAATAATATGACAGGCCCAACTAAATCAAAAACCCTTCTTAAACCTGTCAACAAAATAACTTCCCTCAACCAACCTCTATCACAAACTAAACCTAAACAGATTATTCATCGCTGCCTCCGTCTCCGGTGGTGGTCGTAATAGTAACCGTCCGTCATGGCTGACATAGTGCAATACAAGTTGGAGCGCATGGTCGACGAGCTCGAAGATCTCGAGCAACGCGGCATATTCACCCACCAAGAAATCGCCGAGATCGTCAAACAGCGGCGAAAATTCGAGTACAGGTTAAAGAGACCGTCTCCCCTGAAGGAGGATTTCGTGGCGTACATCGAGTATGAGACACAGCTCGACGCCCTCCGCAGTCTCCGCAAGAAATCGGTGACGCGTGAGTTGAAGAAACAAGGGAACAAGAATTTGAGAAAATCGAAGTCCGATTTGGCTGGATTGATTCGGATTATTGATATCTATGAACTCGCTTTGAAGCGTTATAAGGGTGATATTGATCTCTGGTTTCGTTATCTTGAGTTTTGTAAGCTCAGGAAAAATGGCAGAATGAAGAAGGTAACAGAAACCCTAGCTAAATAGAGAATGAGTAAAGTGAAATTGAAATTGCGTTATTGTTTAATTCACTTTCATACATGTCTGTGTTGCATTGACACTGCTGTTAGGATTTTAGTTATTGACTTAAGTAGATTTTTTGAATATTTTGCTTTTGAAATTTTATAGGCACTTGCAAAACTTGTTAGGTTGCACCCGAAGGTTGCAGGGGTTTGGTTATATGCTGCAGCTTGGGAGTTTGATCAAAACTCAAATGTTGTGGCTGCTCGTGCTTTAATGCAGGAAGGTCTGAGATTTTGTCCAACATCAGAGGACCTTTGGGTGGAGTATCTTCGGATGGAGCTTACGTACCTTAACAAGTTAAAGGCTAGGAAGGTTGCTTTGGGTGAGGATAAGGGAACACTGACTCGTGATCCTAGAACTGATGATGAAAAGCAATGGAAAGATGAAAACAAAGAGTTATTTATGACCCTTGATGAAAAAGACGATAAAAATGGAGAAAATCTTGTACCAGAGGATAACAATGGAGAAAATGTTGAACCAGATGAATCTCAGATGAATCAGGAACTATTTGCTGACCATGGTATGAACATTTTCCGAACTGTCTATGGTGGAGCAATTGAAGCTGTTCCTTCGAGTCTTAATCTTAGGAAGAGATTTTTAGAAATATTGGAGGGAACAAACTTGTCGCATTATGAAGATATGTGCAAAGAGGTACTGTATGACATGAAGAGGGATTTTTCAACTGAACCAGAATTTTGGGACTGGCTTGCGAGGCAAGAATGCAATCCTGAAGCTGTGCTTGAGAATGGACAAGAAATTAAAATTCCTCATGTGGAAAAAGCAATTCAGGTATGAATATGTAGAAATTACTGAATCCGTTGGGCTCATTATCTTATGGTATATGTTTTTATGGTGGATGGGGTACATGAATGAGTGCTTTTAATATAAAACTAGGAAAATTCACCATGTTATGTTAGTGTAGTTTGTTATGGTAATCCCATTTTTCCAATGTTAAGTATAAAATTGATTAGATTGCTACGAAGCACATACACCTCTGGGATTAGGTGTGTCCAGTGTCCGACACGCAGACGACACTTATATGACACATGTAACACAAGTGTCCCGAAATCTCCCTCAATACACCTTGGACACTTCTCAGACACTTCTAGGGGGTTTTATGATGTGTCGAAGCAGTGATGATCAATGGAGAGGACTGAAAACACTAAGCGTATGTTTGGAATCGTGTTTGTGTTGGCATTCTCGCGTCCCAATGCATTGTAAACGTGAAAACAAAGAAGCTACTATTTGTAGCTTTTACGGCATCGTGGATATCTAACGAAATTCTACCAAATGCGACGCACTACCAAACAAATACTAAATATAATTACAACCCATTTATCCAGTGTTGGTGTCCTATATTTTTTAAATTAGCATCGGCGCTGTGTCCATGTTCTGTTAGGTGCCTGTGTTTCATAGTTAGATCTAGGATGCTACATCATCTTTCAATGCTTGTTTTTCCATTTGTTCTTTTGTGCTTATATTGACTAACCAAACCGTGGGTTCTGTTCTGTTGTAGGTTTATGAGGAGGCTTTGATGAGTGTGCCTTCTGGAACCATGTTTAGTTTATATGCAAGTTTTCTAACAGATATTATAGCTCCTAAAGATGAAGGAAGTGATATAACCGGGTTATCGAGTCATGCTGAAAACTTTTTACCACATCTCCTCTCAGTATATGAAAGGGCTGAAAGCATGGGAATCATTAATGAATATCTTGCTTGCAAGTACGTCACCCTATATTTGCAAATGAGAAAATTAGTTGAGGCCAGAAAACTGGTAATAAAGCTCTGCAGTGGAAAACTTGCAGAATCAGTGCAGTTATGGGAATTAAGGATAGCTATAGAAATTTCGTGCATCACACGGAGTTCTTTGTTGCCCTGTGATACTGATTTGTTATACCTTTTTGAACTCCTTAGACAAATTTTAACCAAAGTCCCTGTTTCAAAATCAGAGAACTTGTGGCAGAAGGTATGATGTCAACACTTACCTTATTTTTATTGCTTAAAGTGCGGTGCTATGTCTTGTATAAAATTACTCCCTGTGAAAAGAATTAAAAAACAAATGTTTTATAAATTGAACACTAGTGTCAATAATCAACCTCTTGCAAATGCGAGACTGTTTACAATATATCTGTAATGGGTTTGACCCTCACCTGACTAAGCCATGGTGGGAGCTTTACAGCACCAGGATGTCTCTTATTCCTTGATCATTGGATTTTTGAGCAATTTTGCTTTTTCACATATGGTGCTTTCATAGTTGGAGATTAAATGTGCATTGATTATTTTAAAATAATTATCTCTGATGCTACAAATGTATTGTTCTCTAGTCTTATTTTGAAGTTGGATTTGGATTTATTTGTCTATTGTAATAAAGTTTAGTGTTAAAAGTTTGAAAGTTCCTAAATTTGATCATCTTTCTAATTGTAACTCAATACAGGCCTTTAAGTTCTATGCAAGTAAAAGGCGATACTTTGATAAACTGGTGGAGATTTCTTTTCTTCCTTTGGCCAGAGATGGTGGTAGTGAAAGCGGATTTTCCCTTTCCTCTACGATTGTAGGTTTCATACTTCAAAAAGATGGAATTCACAAGGCCAGAGATATCTATAAAAGGTATGTGCTGTGGAAGTGGAATCAGTGCTGGGTGTTATTTGCCATAATATGCTGTATGAGAGTTTTTCTATCTTGTATCCATGATAACTCCTCAACTATTTCTCATTGCAGATTTCTAGCTTTACCACATCCCGGCCTTGCATTATATAGGAAGTGTATTGAGCTGGAAACAGACCTTGCTTCAAAAGGAGATAAAGACAGTCTCACAAATGCCAGGAAATTATACGAATCTGCACTTGCAACTTATGACCAAAATGTTAGCTTGTGGCAAGATTACTATCGCATGGAGGCCAAGGTACCAAAACCGTCGAAATATATTTAATTGGTCTTTCTATATAGTTTTCGATTATTTGTTGGATTTCTTTTGTACCTTTGTGCATAATGGATAATGTATCATCCAAATCATATAATGCAAATATTATTTTTTGGATTTTGATCATGCAGATGGGAACATCACAAAAAGCTACTGCTGTCTATTGGAGTGCAATGAAAACACTTAAAGATTCTAGTGAATTTACTGCCTCTCTAGATTTGTGATAATTTTAGAGTTAAAACCATGGCTATGGAGCTCAATTTTGACCATATTATTTTTCAGAAATTTGTTATTTTTTCATTAGGCTAGCTTGACTTCAATTTGATTTTCCTTTCCAAGTGAGAGTAGAGCCTCATCTCTCTCGCCAAACCTTTTATGTAATGATAAGCTTGTTAAATGTATTGTAATATATTCTTATACACTGGAGCCAGTGGATTAAGAAGAGTTTTATGAAATCGACCGACGGTGTCAAGCTACTTTTGTAGGCATTGTTAGTTGCAGAATGGAAAACTATGCCAAAGTGTGGATTATTTAAGGTAAAGAAAATGTTAGGGTGATGAAGTTTAAAGTTAAAATGAATCAGCTCTTATATGGAGAAAAACTGATAATTATTTCCCCCTTATTTTATAGTGCAAGTCATTAATATTAACAAATGAAAAATACATGGGTTCTTTCTTTGCCGAAAGTAGAAAAATACTAGTACATGACTATTTAGCTTTTTCTTTGTTTTCAATTTTCATGTATAATTCCACACGAAAGTATTGGGAAAAGTTTATCCCGGTCTCATTCTCTACACTTTGGGCCACTGCGGACTCACTACCTGCAACAATGAATTCAAGTTTATCAGTTGCATGATTTGTATGAGTGACATTGGTAGTTCTTATGCTAATAAATTTTGCAGATGCTGACCTCCAGTGTGCTAAAGACTAAGCGCATTCTGCTAGCAACAACGGATGGTTTCTCAGCTTCGTCCATCACAGCCGTCTGCTCTAATTGAAGAGTCTTTACAGGTAGCCTTCAATAAAACAAAAAACAAAGCAGGTAGCAACTATTAAGATTCATATTCATTTGCGCAACAATTAGGATCTAAATTCATTCTTCTTACCAAGCCATTCCTTTCATAAAATATGCATTTGCTATGAGAGCACAAAATCCTTTCCATTGAATTCTCACTTCATCTGACACTGAAGGTGTTGATGACCATCTAACAATAGTTAGCTGGGGTGTACACAAGATTGTGATAAATATAATGCTTAACCACAGAATGCACTCATCAATCTGCATCACACAAAAACATGCCAAACAAGACAACTCAAATCTAACTGAATATAATTAATATATCCTATGAACTACAGATACCGACCTCATCCGAGAAGATTTTAGATTTCAAGCTTGTGCTCCCACCATAACTTTGCATTGCTTCAATTTCAATGCCAGAGTCCTTCATATCGGTAAGCTCTTTCCTTAATCCTTCATCAGTGCACCCAAGTTCATATGCATTCACTCCAGCAGTGATGAACTCCTGAAAATGAAAAAAAAAAAAAAAAATCCAATTAGACTTCTTAGAAATGAAATTTCCAATTGAATGTAAAACATATGCTTAATAGAGGCAGTGGAAATACTTTAAGATTGTCACCTCCTCCACGATCAGCAAAATTCCTGTAACGCTTAAACAAGGTGATGGCTATGTTGCGTGAAGAACGGTACTCATCATCGGATGAAATTGAATCATGTAACCCACACTGCTGCAATATATATGATGATGTCAAAAGCTTATCAATGGCAAAATGTAAATAAACTAAACCAAAGTAGATGAAGAATTGAGGTATTATAACACGTTTTATTAATTACCAATATACTATGAACGCCCTTGTGTTGCTTTTCACATATCCAAGAGAACGATGAACTATGGAATATGTTGCTACATGAACTTCCATTAGTTTTAGGAAAAGCAAGATTGAGATTTATGAAATTAACATTATTGATTTTGTACGCATGCTGCGTGGAAGCTGAGTCTTGTCGGTATAAATGAGAGTTTATAATAGCTGTTGGAGCATTAACTGTTAACATGATTGAACCATGATATAATATGATATTGCTTCCTTCAAAATAATCAATAAATATAAATGAAAACAAGTTAGTTAATTCAGAGAAATAAACGCATAAGGAAAAATAAGGGTAAGGAGGAAAGTGATCATATTCATACCTGTTTAAGAGTAAGGAGAAAAAAATGAGGCAAAATGAAAAGTTTGGTAGCCAAAACAATAGAAAGAAAAGTAATAAACTTAGAGAAGAATGAGTGAAACAGAACCACTAGTTGTTATGGTCCAAAAGAAAAAACATAACCACGTATTGTATCAATGGTTTTCAGCCGCCAAAGATTGTTTTCATTTTAGATATTATTATTTCTTCTTGTTTACTTTGCGTGTACACCTAAACAAATAATTATCATTTTTATCTTCTCTTTTCCCATGATTAAGATTTAAGCGGATTTTTACAAGTGTTATGTTAAAATTAATTTTGTGTGTGTTGTATTTTACTTTTGTTCATTCATTTTTGTGTTTATCACTGATGATTATTTATACAATGCTGGTGATTCCAAAGCTGGTCTAATCCGCTTAGAGGTTTAATTTTTTTTTTAAATGAGGCTTTTAAAATAAATAAATAAAATTAAATTTTGGATTTGACATGAGTTGAACCAAGACGTGAAAGATATGAGGTCTCTCTTCTATTAACTCGACAATGAGACTTTATATAAAAAATATGTAATTTGAAATATTTATGATCAAATTAAAAAAAATTGAAACCTTTTTATAGCTTAAAATTTTGAGGTCTAAAGCTCTTGGGTGGTTCGTCTTACGCTTGAGCCGATCATGATAGTCTGTTATTTTATTGTGTAATTTCTATAAGTATTCGTATGTGTTTCTAATTGTTTTAAGGGGATTTTAGTTAAGTTTGACCAAAAAATAAAAAAGAAATGAAGAAGTGAAGGACTTAGGAAGAAAAGAGGAAAAAGAGAAATATAAAGAAAAGTAACAAAAAGCTCTTGGAAAAATCGTTGCCAATCGTAGCAAGATATATAGGTATCGTGCGATGAACTACTTTTTCTATCATGCGTTTGTTGCTATAAATAGGAGAAAGAGAAGAGAAAAAGGGTGGATGTTTTGTACGAAATTTTGACGGCAAGGCAAAATTTAGAGTTCTAGAGTGAAGCTTTTCATTATTTGAAATAATATTATAATTGAAGATTCATATATTGTCTCTTTATTTCTTCAATTATAATTATTATCCATATGAGTAGTTAATTTTCTATTGATTAGGGTTTGCTAGATGAACCCGTATGAACCTATTAGATCATATGTTTGTATTTTGTATTCTTTGCACTTTTGTTAAATTCAGTTTTATTATTCAGTTAATTTTGCATTCATTGGTTTATATGTGCCAACGAACTCGTATAATGAACTTAGAAATCTTAGTGATTACTAATCTTAACTCTATGAGTTTGATCTAAATTAACTGTTCAACTTAGTAATTTGTTAGAGATAAGAAGTTATAAGTTCTGACTTAAGGTTTAACGTACTAAATATTGTCTATTTTAACTAGCCAATTATCCTAAGAGATTAGGGAGCGTAAGGTAAAATAATGAGTTATACATAAAGGGATTGAGTATAACAGCAAAGTTAAAGTGTCGTAATAACTGAGGAATCAACATAAGGCAACTAGACACCAAAATCAATAGTGATATACATGAGATTTACAACAAAACCTAATCGTCATTATTCTAATTAAATTTTCAATAAATTTTTATTTATGAAATTATTACTTCAATCCTGTTCCGGACTGATCCAATGACTAGGCATGACCCAATCAACTCCTACTCCCAAAACGGCCAAATTGCCTAAGTCCAACCAATTTGGAGGAGCATTTACCTTTCTGCCCCTCCACCAGGGGAGGTTGGCTGGTTTACCCCTAGGCCAGTACTTCTCCTCGTCAATCCTTGCCAGTCACACACGGTTCCACCATCCAAAAACAATCACGACGCTTGTACCTGTTACTACGCCTTTGCCCGTAGCAACGACTAGTTTTGGACACCTCTGCCCGTTCCAACGTCTAGTTTTTGGCAGTTACCTATTCTTTGGGAAACAGTTATCTCGCCCCGAAAATAGGAACCAATGGCCAAGCGCTGAGGGCACTATAAAAACCCTCTCATTTGAGAGGGTCAGGTATTCAATATTCACCTTGATACACACATATTATGTACTTGCCTTCTTTCTCCCGTTCTTACTTTAACATCGGAGTGCCTTGCAGATACACCCCCTCCTCTCTCACACCCAACATCACAAATGATATTCTCTGGCCCACTTCTGGTTCTGATCAGCCGTCAAGATCAAATCCAAACATTTGAAAAGTCTATCAAATTTTTGGCGCCGTTGCCGGAGATTGTTTAATTATTTCAACAAGTCAATTTTTATGCTACGTTTTTATTTAATTTAATTTTATTTTCTTTAGTTATTTTTAGTTCTATTTTTTCTTCTCTTATTCATTTTTTGTTTGGTACGATGCTACTAAGGTATTTTCTGATTGTTTATGTGAGGATCAAGTTTGACACTAATATCATTGGATTCAAACATCGACAATACCGTAAGAGCAATTTAGAGAGCAAATAGAGAAGCACAATGAGCTAAAGAGAAACTCGAAGATGAGAAAATGCCCGTTTCTTCTGATAACATAAGTGATCAAGAGAAAGAAGAAATGACTATGCCTCGAGAAAAGAGAATGACATAAATATTTATCTTGGTTCCCCTTGCCAACCTAAGGGTACATCTTGTTCTTCTATCGCCTTAGAGGATTTTCCACTATGTATCAAGAGACACATTTACAAGCCTCACACCAAGAATTCTCTCAAACTAATCCTTAATACTCATACATGATATCACACAACTTCCTTGTTTACGTAGCACACACTGAACACTATGGTAGACTCCAAATCATCCTCACTCAAAGGAATTTTTTTTTATAATCACCAAACACTATGATAATCCTAACCAAATACCATGATAAATTAAGAATCACACTAATTTTCAATAAATGACAAGAGAACATACCCATTTCTATTTTACATACACTTTCAACACACACTATGATGAAAAATAGAAAAATTCAATATTGTTGAGAATTAAAGAACTTTGTAGGTTGTATGATTGTCAAATCCAAAATTAGGATTGTAAGATTTTCTTCTCAATATTTTCTTTCACACGCACGCACGCGCGCACGCAGGTTTTGAAAGGTTCACAAAGTTTCAAACATTTTAAAAAATTAAGATCACTTGGAAGTGATATGTTGATTCTATAAATATGATTTGAAGTTTTTAAACGATTCCAAAAATGTTAACACCAAACACTATGGTGGACTCTCAATAACCCTGACTCAAAGGAACTTTTTAGGAATCGCCTAACACTATGATGATCTTCACCAAATACTATGGTGAATTAAGAATCACACTAATTCTTAATAAATGACAAGAAACCACACCACTTTCTATTTTTCATACACTTTTACCACAAACGATGATGAAAAAAAACACTCAATCTTGTTGAGAACTGAAGAACTTTATAAGTTATATATACATCTGTGTTTATTTATTAATTTCTTGAGAGTTAAAATACTTTTTCTATATATACAATATGATTATACAATAAAATATGGTAGACAAATATTTTGTTACAGGTTTATTCCTCACAAATTTTGTCCATTCAATTTTTTTAGGAGTTTAACACCTCTGAAATTTTGTTTATTCAAATTTTTATGATTGATTTTATCTTTGAAAATTATGTCTGTGCACGCGACATGCACAACATCATGCTCCGAACTGTACTAGGGATTACCCTCGCAACTGACCTTGACAAATTTGTTAGAAATTTTTCTAAAAATGTGCACTGCCTGAAATTTTTCTATTTTGTGAAAGTTTTGCCCTCGGCAAATCAACTTTTTTTTTTTTTTCCTTTTCAAATAGTGTTATATCTTATATAAATCCCCGACAAATCGCCTTTTCGTTTAGTGTTAAAAATAGTGCTATATTTTTAATAACTAACACTTAGAAACACACATTTACTAAGATATGAAGAGTTCATTTGCTATGCTTCTTATCAATATTGGCTGCCTGCTGTAGTCAATTCAATGCCTTTGATTACATTTTCAGCACACAAGTGCCACTGCCATGCATGCTATGCTCTTCGAACAGATTTTTAATTTGACACAAAATAAATGTCTTTGCATTTGGGAACATGTTTTTCTTAGCTGAGAAAACTGTTTTAGTTTCCTACAACATCATTAATTATTGTCCATTCATTTCCTTACAACCTGTTCAACAACATCAACGGTTGTCCATTCATTTCGTTACAACCTCTTCTAATTCCATACAACATTAATTAATTCACTTCATTTTTGATACTCAAAATATGTTATTTTATTCTTTCTACATAGAACTACATATATTTAATATAGAAAAATGAAAGTGAACAATAAATACTATATCCACCATTTGGTCTTATAGTTACCTAAAGAAACTCTTCTACTCAAAATATAATAAAACTATAACTTTACAAGTTGCCACAAATCCACCCTGGCACAATATTAAACCATATATATATATATATAAACCTTTCCTCAGTATACTAAACACAAATCAACACACAACATACATGGCTTCCATGCACACCTCAACAATATTTTCATCTTCATTTTCTTCAAAGAGAGTTCATGTAAATGCCTCAATCCATGTCCCAAGACCCAATTCTGCACTTCCTAAGACTAATATACTCACTAGATCAAAGCTGCTTGGGGGGTTAAGTACCTTCACTGACTCACTTGGAAAAAATGATCTGTCCAATTCTACAATCTCTAACAACTCCACCATGCAACTCTATGCTGTCTTAGAAGCTGTATCCGACAGAATCCAAATGCACAAAAACATAGGCGAACAGCGTCAGAATTGGAACAACCTACTTCTAAACAATATCAACATGATTACACTCACTGCTACAACATTAACCGGTGTTGTAGCAACAAGCGGTGCTGTTGGTGCACAACTTTTGGCTCTTAAACTATCCTCCACTCTTCTGTTTTCTGCGGCAACTTGCATGCTTCTTGTCATGAACAAGATTCAGCCTTCGCAACTTGCCGAGGAGCAAAGAAATGCTACAAGATTGTTCAAACAGCTTTGGACTCAAATCCAAACCAAAATCAGTCTTGGTAATCTTATCACCGAGGAAGATGTGGAATCTTCCATGGAGAAAGTGTTGGCACTTGACAAAGCTTATCCACTTCCTTTGTTAGGAGCTATGCTTGAAAAGTTTCCTGCAAAGTATGAACCTGCTGTTTGGTGGCCTGAGAAAAGAAGAGAAGGAAATGCAGCAGCAGCAAGAAAGGTGATGAAGAGAAATAGTAATAGTAGTAATGGATGGAGCGAAGAATTAGAAATAGAACTGAGAGAAGTGATTGAAGTTTTGAAGAGAAAAGATATGGAGGATTATGAGAGACTTGGAAACATGGCATTAAAGATTAACAAGAGTTTGGCAATAGCAGGTCCATTGCTCACTGGAATTGCAGCTATAGGTTCTGCATTTGTAGGAAATGATGATGGGTTGTTTTCAGCCATGGTTCCTTTGATGGCAGGGTCAGTGGCTTGTGCAATAAATGGTTTAGAGCATGGTGGACAAGTTGGTATGGTATTTGAAATGTACAGAAACTGTGGTGGATATTTCAGGAAGTTGGGAGAGAGTGTGGAAAGCACACTTGAAGAGAATGATATGGAAAAAAGAGAAAATGGAGAGATATATGAAATGAAGATAGCGATGATGTTGGGAAGAAGTGTTTTGGAGCTAAGACAAGTTGCTTCAAATTCTGCTTCTTCTTCTATCGACCAATTTGCTAGCAAGCTTTTTTAAGATGATATACTCCCTCTGTCCCAACATATTAAATAAATCACATTTATTAAAAAAAACACAAGATAATAATAATTTAGAGCATGATTTTTGTGTTGTTTTAGAATAGAATAAAAAACAATTGTAACTGACTATCGGTTAATAAGAGGGAATATTGAGCTTGATCATGTTCTATGTTTATTGAAACCTAAGAGCGAGAAATTCGTGAAGACAAGGAAGATAGAAAGTTGGACATAGGGATATCTCGAATTAGATGGAACACTCACGTATTAATCTGTAAATCGTGATTCTAAGACCATAAGGATCGAATCATTTATAAATACCACAATTTGTAAATTATTCGCCATATCTAATCAATCAAACTATTTTATACAATTTATCCTTTTCTTTAGTTTGCTTTATGTATTTTTTAAATGAGTAGTTCAACTTTCCACATGCTTACTCATAACTTTTTTTTAGAGTAGTTAAGAAATACATGTCGTACCCCAAAATTTGACCAACCTCTCTGGCTGATGTTGTGTTTCATTTCATCTGCATCAACATAAGGCATAAAAACATTACATAGCATATTTTAATTTGCACCTTTACAGGGATATAAAAAAAAAGGAGAGAAGAAGAAAAAGAGATGTGTATTCAAGATATATGGAGAATAGGGAGGTCATTTTCCTAAGTAAAAAATATAATTGAGACAAGTGCACAAGGTGGGGTTTGAACCCACCACCTCTTGCTCCACACCCCTCACCTTCACCACTCAGCCAGGCACACATTTGTGAACAACAATGAAAAGGAAAACTATTTATTTTAAGGTATTGAAAATAAAGGCGCATGAATAAAAAGGTGGTGGATTTTGCTCACACCAAGATTCGAACTCGTGACTGTATGGTAAATAGGCGCATGACTTAACCACTGGGGTGGCGATACATCCAGTGATTATCCCACCCCAGTTTTGTTAAGTATCTTACTTTACTCCATATGGCTGGGCAAGCTTGAAGCAGTTTGGCCGTGCGTGAAGAAGGGAGGAGAGGGCAAGACACGACCATTCTGGACGAGTCAAGGTTTTACTCCATCTATTTTTTCACGAGGGGTATTTTGGTGTAGGTAATTCTCATGATTGAAGTAAGGATTCCAAGTTACAAGCCAAATTGCAATGTGGGGTATTTGTTCTTTTCATGAAGAAAATGGTACAGAACATTGCTGTTTCAAGACCAGCACCAGAGGGTACTTGCTCTGGGCGCTTTTGAATCCATTGCCAATCCGGGAAAGGGCAAGCAGCCTCTACACTGGCCTGCTGCAGCCCTAGTTTGTCCCTACCTCTCCACTCCAACAAAAAGCAACAAGACAAAACTCAACAAAGATTTTTGAACTAGGAGCTGGGATATAAAAGGTTAAAGGGAGTAGGAAACCCTAGCGGCCAGAGAGTTTGTTTTCAGAGGAGAATGAGCAAAAAAGAGTCTTGAGTTTTCTTTGGGACCTTATTCTCTCTAAAAGACTTCGTGGGCTGCCTCAAGAAGGGAAAAGAGTCGTGTTCTGCTCAAAAGAAGGTTTACTTTGTTTTTTTGAGGTTGCAAGTTGTTTTGTTCTTATTGAAAGTGCTGCAAGAGGTGAGTATCATGAATTTCTTGGTTTCATTCGTATCATTGGTTGTAGACATTGAGTATGTTCTTATCTTGAAGTTCATTAACTTTTGAGTGAGATTATGCCATGTTGGTTACTGTGTGAATCATGTTTCTTTCTTTGCTTGAAGCTGTTTGACTTAATTACGAAGGTCTGATTCTGGTTGTTTGTTTTATGTTTGGTATGAAAATGTGTACATGTGTGTGGTAATGTTATTGTTACGACAAGATAGGGAGCTGTTGTTTTCTAATGAAGGTTTGTGTTCAGGTTGTTCAGGTCATTTAGGTTTTGGTTAATGTTTGTTATGTTTGCCTCTGTTGCCTTAAATCCTGTTTGAGGTCAGCCTGGATCTATGCTGGTTGGGTTTTTGGATGACATTGTTGTGAGTTTTGGCTATCTGACCTGAGTTAGGAGTTGGTGTTGGTGTTTGAGTTCATGATGGATAGGTCATCAGTGGACTGTTAGGCTTGTTATTAAGTTGTTGTGAGATGAGGTTTTCATTTCCTTTTCCTCTGATATCTGTCTCTGAGATGAAAAAGAGTTTTTCTCTTGTTTAGGTTTTTGAGTTGACAGTCTTTAGGGCAAGACTTAACTTTGGTTGTGTATATCAGTTTTACCCAGAACTTTGGTGGAGGTATATGTTTGGGGCTGGCTGATCTGTTAAGCTATTGCATTTAGACCTATTTAGGCATTTGAGGATCAACCATATTTGGTCTGAGCCTTGTTTATAGTTTGGCAATGATTTGAGGTTGGTGTTCAAGATTGGTTGTGACATAAACCATGTGCCACAATTTTGGGGTTCCAAGCGATGGTTGTTTTCGCATTTTGATAAGTCTGTTTTGTTGTTGATCTTTATCAACACATTTAAGTTCTTGGGAGGCAATTGGCTTGGTGGGTAGGTTAAGGGAGTTTTCTTTAGTGTGGTCTCTATAGGACCCTGTTGCAGCTTGTCCATTAGTAGGTGGGACTGTCTTTAGGCTTTAGTTTTGTTGTGGTTAAAGTGATGTTTAAATGAGGAAGTCTTTTTCACAGGCTTATGTTGAACCCAATGATAGTTGGAGATCCTTGTTTTTTTTTTTTCTCTTATTGGTATGGTACTGCTTTAACACCAAGCCTGCTGTCTAGTTTTGTGAAAGGTCATAGAGGGTTTGTTATAGGCTGAGGTTTTGAGTCTGTTGCAAATTCTTAATAGGACATAGGGTTGTTGCCAAAATTAATACGCTGGCGGATTGATTCGGCATCCAGATCCATAGGGAGTTTTGGTCAGCCTAGGTGCCATTGGATTCTCTGCCAGTTAGCTGAGGCTCTAATTTGAGAATGCCATGACAGTTTGTTGCTCCAACAACATGGTAAAAAATCTTGACTGTTGTGCTGCTTTCTTCTTTAGAGTACTCTTTCATTAGAGTACCCTTTCATTGGGAGCATATTTTTGGGATTGGCTGGTGATTGTATCAAGATTCTGCTGATGCTATTGACTGAATTAGCAGGGTTTCCGCGCGAAACCTTCAACCTTTAATCTAGCCTGGTGTCTAACCATTTAGTTTTGTTTTCGTGAGTTACGCCAATAGAGGGCATTTATGAATAACTGTCAGGCGTTGGCCTTGTTGAGAAAGATACCAAGGACTTGTCTAGGCTTGTATTCTTTTAAAATGAATATTGCACTGAAGGTGTTTGATTAAAGTACTGAGCGAGCCTCATGCAACAGCTAGGGCGGGGCAGTTTAAATTGATGGTTTGTCTGGACTCTAAAAAGGGGCATTTGGAGGATTTTAGCTCGTAGCAGGGTCTGTTATGCTTGGCTGATCTGCTGTTGATGAAAGGGTCTATGTTTAGGGGCTGTTAGTTTTGTTTTGGTGAGTTTGGTTGTTATACTTTGTGGCTTGAAACATATAATCTGTTGTAGAGTAACTGATGTTGGTGTTGCCTAAAATTATTTGATTTGGTTTAACTTTTTGAGCAGACCTGCTGTTACTTTGGAGCCCTGTACTTAAAAGCAGTTTCATATAATTATTTGAATTAAGTTTTATTTGTGTTAATCAAGTCCCTTTAGGCCTGAAAGTTTTCTTTTTCTTTCCTTTTTTTAACTTAGTCTAGGAGTTGAGTTTCTATGTGGTGGAGTGGTATCTTTTCTTTCTAAGGTTCATCCACTTGCAACTCGCGCATCACGTTCTTGTTTTAATGTCCTTTGATCAAATCACTTATGGAAGTTCGTTCCTTTGCGTATTTGGAGCTTGCTCAAAGCGATTTCTACCTCTGCTTATATTTAATTTGGATTCGTGAGTTTCACAGTGTATCCCAAGACGCCTCATTGCGTAGGGCTTCTTTTTTCTTTATGTGATCAATATTTGGAAAATCTAATAGGACCATTTTCTTCCTTTATTTTTTCTGGTCAGTTTTGACATGAGGTTTGTGTGGTTTGGTTGAGGTACGGTTGAGTTACGTTGCGAAACGTATTGGGGGCGGTTGGTTTTGTTCTTGGTTCTGCCCAGAAATATGCCTCACTTTGGTACTTAATTTGATGGGGTGGCATAAATACACGGATGTATCGCCACCCCAGTGGTTAAGCACAGGCCTTTAAGTATCCTGCCTCGCCCCAGTGACCTGAGTTCGAGCCCAGCTGGGGCCTTTTTTCGCTTTGTTTTTTTATTTTATTTCTTCATTTCTTGCTTTTTTCCTTTTTCTTCCATACCCTGTTAGCGTGCGCGCCTGGTGTCTTAGTGGTTGGGATTGCTAACTTTGAACCAAAGGGAGGTGGGTTCAATTCCCACCTCTTGCTTTTTTCCTAATCTTATTTATTTTATTTATTTGTTGTAATTATATAATTTCCAAAACCAATTTTTTTTTTGGATACTTATTTATTCTTGATCCATTTTTTTTTGCAAATTAACCATAACTTCAATTATTTTCATTTAATAAAACAACATTTCAAATTATTGATGATTTTCAAGAGCCTGGACTTACTTGAAGGTCGACCCTCTGTTAGGGTTTGCTCGCGTTGTATCTTGTAACTTTTCTCAAAAGTAACTGTTCTTGGTGTTGAATTAAAATAAGAGGATTGGGTGTAGTCCCCTTCTTCTTCGAGTGTTGGGACGCCCACTGTAGTGAGGGTGGTCCCGATACTCGTCTTTCAATACGAAGACGTTTCCATACCATCTCTTCTAAAACTTCGGTCTCGTACCGAGTCCATTTTCAAACAATAATAAATTGATTTCTTTTTGTATCGAATTAAAGAGAGAAGATTGGGTATAGACCTCCTCTTCTCCGAGTGATGGGATGCCCACTGTAGTGAGGGTGGTCTCGACACTCGTCTTTCGATACGAAGACACGCCTTTATCCACCATCTCACTTTCACAATTTCATCCCGCAACCCTTGTCACCTAAAAACCTCGG